GAGGATGTTTTTGTTTTAACTCCTTGTTTTTTTATGCTGATTAAACAATCAAGATGTTGTCACAGTTTCTTCCCTCTGTTCCTCTTCTTTAGCCACATTCTCCATTCCCTATCCCTTGCTTTTTTATAATGATTCTGTCTTGAACAAGGACCATGCATACAAATACAATTTTCCCAGGAAGAGAAAAGATGATCCAGGCCAAATTAGAGCTAATAGATAATTTACAGCTGCAGTCCTTGCGCAGGAACACAAGTATCCATCAGCCAACACTAAAACATAGTATCTCAATCGCATAAACAATTATAAAACAAAGTAGACTACAGATCATAGTATCTAGTACCATACAAATATATTATTACAATCTATTTGAACTAGAAACTACAGTCAAATTAATCTTGGCAAGACTGGTTACTCAATATAAATATCTTGCACGATGGTAAAAAGAGTGTCTGTGCACATTTTGGGCTCAGATGGAAGCATATTCCAATGCTTGATGGCCGCAAATAATAAAAGATTGTGGGAAGGCAGTGTGTCAGAGTGGGAGGTTTGGTTCAAGGTTCAAGGCTTTTATTGGTCATGCGTACATAGCTAGTGTAGTTATGACAATGAACATCTTAGGTCACAGCCAGACTCCTCCAACAGTGCAACACAATAAAACAGAACAAACACAGAAAAAATAGTGCACGTAAATACAAAAAGAAAAATAGTAAAATTGTGGAATAGTGCAATAAGAGTCTTTAACAAGTGATTGAATATGATATATTAGATCAATCATTTCTAAATTGCAGCCAGATTAGGTTCAGGTGTTTAACAGTCTTATGGCCTGGGGGATGAAACTGTCCCTGAGTCTGGTGGTTTTAGTTCTGATGCTGCGGTACTGCCTGCCAGACGGCATCAGACAGAACAGTTTGTGGCTGGGGTGATGGGGGTATTTTTGTAATCCTGAGGGCCGTCTCGTCGCCGTTGGTGATCTGGCCGATGACGGTCGTGTTGTCAGCAAACTTCACGATGGTGTTGGAGCTGTATGTGGCCACGCAGTCGTGTGTGAACAGGGAGTAGAGGAGAGGGCTGAGCACGCAGCCTTGAGGGGCTCCAGTGTTGAGGATCAGGGTGGAGGATGTGATGTTTCCCACCCGCACTGCCTGGGGTCTGCCCGTCAGGAAGTTCAGGATCCAGTCATACGTTTGAGTCCAGTTTGAGTCTGTATTTGGCGCGGATAATATGTTGCAATGATGGAAATGTAATGATATCTTATCAAAAACGTTTATCTTTATAAAGAACCTTTATTGGTTTCAGCCCTGTCTTACTGTTCTGGGACCAGTAGGTTATGCAATACTGAAGATGTGAGAGAATCCTCGCTTGCAAATATTTTTGGATGCATCTATTGTTCATGAGTTCCTTTTATGTCTACATTTTATGTATGTGTCTACACAAATGTATGTTATATTTCAGTTTTTGTCTAATGTATTTGATTTGGCAACCTGTGCCATGTTCCTTCCACCCACCAGATGTCCACACTTTCCCTCCTTTACCAATCACCTGACTGCCACACACACACCCACCCACACACCTGCTTCCTCTTCCCTCATCTGCTCTGGTTGGCCTTCTCCACATACCCCTTCCCCTGCATCACCCTACCTGCTTCCTATATTTCTACCACTTCATTTCCCAGTTCATCGTAATTGCCAATTACATTGTAGTCTGGATTTTAAACAACTTAAACCTGTCTTTTACTCAGCTATCGGACCTGAGTCTGTCAAACAGTAGCTTTACCTGCCAGCCAACACCTTCCTGTAAGATTATTTATTTAAAATAAGCTTCCTGCTTCATCTGAATGTTGGTCTTTCCCCTTTCTGCACTTCTTGTGGTGACAAACAATTAACAGAGGTGAGTTGCAGGCAGATTTTTTTACCTTTGGTCTGAACCAGACTATCTGTTTCCCATGTTCTCCCCAGCTTTAATCTAAGCTAACCTAAGTGAAAACATGGACCATTTGTAACCATGTTTATATTTGAAACAAGTAGTATATTTCAGATTTTGCTCTTTGATCAATGTTGTAGTAAATGTATCATTTCGTCTCATTTAACTAACTTCCTTCTCTGGTTTGATTTTCCCGCAGTTTGAATTTATCAGTCCTAATGTAATATAGGGCTGTCATTCCCAGGCTTTATCACACCTTTAATACAAAAGACTGGCAACCTTCTGTTCTCTTGCACTTGACTGACAGGAGGGTGCCACTGGACCATTGTCAGGCAAATGATCATACGGATATTACCTGTATTATGTCCCTTTTGTTTCCTGCTCCTCTGTATACATGACATTGCTTTTCTGTGTAACGGGGTCAGATTTCTTTAGCACATATGGGTGCGTGCAGGTTATCTGTCATTCCAGCTGGAAATAAGATTGATATTGTTAAATGCTATAACTCTTTATTAAATAACACAACTTTGGTTTAAGCTTGTATATTTGTTCGTTTCTTACCAGAAGGTGATTAAGAGTGGAATTTCCACCACAATCAAGTCCTTAGCACCCATGCTTTTCGTACTATGACCAGTCAAAAATATCTGAGAGCCAATAGGGACACCTAGTGGCAAATACTAGTAATACTAGTACTTCAATAACATTTTTTTACATGACATTCTTGAGAAAACACTAACAGTCACTTCAATCTTACCACTTTATATACAGAGATGATGGTCCAATCCAAATCTTACCATACATGGAAACGATGCCAGCATGACACTGGAGAAAGGGTGATTCAGAGGAGACCTGCGTCAGCTCCACACCACTCACCAGGTATGGCTGCCAGGCCGCCGCACAGTTAACATCTATCTCTTTCACATTGCAAAGTCCAAAGACAGCTTCTTGTACTTACTATTTACTTGCACTATATTTTTCTGTTTATCTGTGTTTTGTGTTGCACTGTTGGAGAAGCCTGTGACACAAGATTTTCATCGACATAACTACACTGCAGCTATGTTCGTTTGACAAATAAAGAACTTTGAACCTTGAGACTGGAGAAATTGTTTACAATAACAATGCTATAATATTTATAGCAAGGTCTTTAACTTCAGACAGACACAGGCAGGCATTTCATTTCCAGCCCGTCTCTAGGCGAGACACGGCAGGCAAAAACATCGTTTTTCAAGTACTGGTCAATTTTGAGATTTTGTGCTATTTTGATTCCATAACATGTTTTCTTTCAGGCTTTTGGAAGGAAAACGTACAAAATACACATTTAAGTGTTTATTTTACTATAGTTTGTCTATTTGCGTCTGTAGATTTCTCCTAAATTCACCAAAAGTTAGCATTCTAACGTAACATAAAGTACCGCGACCGCTGTGTGCACCATGTCAACAGAGGTATCGCTGGAAAGCTCCGTCTCTCCTGCACAATCTCATCGGATCCAAATATGGTCATTTCCTTTGTATCAGCAACCAATCGTGAAAGCACAAAGGGGTCTGAAACCAAGAAACGAAATCTCATTGGCTGGTGTCAATTTCTGACAACGTGATTCGTTCAGATGCGTCACGTGGTGTGCTAAAACACTTCCTGGTTAGCTTTCAGCTAGAAATTGAAATCTCAAAATGCCAAAAGAATGGCGACAAAAACGTTCACAGAGAAGAAGACAACAATTGTCACTTGCACGAAGCAAGGTTATAAAAAAAAAAATGACCCTGAACATGAAATACCTTCACGGAGTGCGTCGATGCGCAAGCTATCATCCAAAGAACAGGAAGGTTTAGCTAGCACTGCAATCTTTAAAGGTCGTTTTCTCAAAATGAGTTTTTTCTCCTACTCTGAGTTCGAAATTTCAACTTCAGTAGCATGTACATACACCAAACCTTCCAGTTATATTCCTATCAATATTATGAAGGCTTTTACAGAAGGGTTTGTTCATATATAATTCATAGCCTGAATTATACAACATTGTATACCTAAAAACATGGCGAAAATGGATATTTTAGGGCTGTTGACAGTATTTTCTGATTTATGGAATGATAAAAAGAGATATCCAATATCCCTTCTGTAAAAGCCTTAGATACTAATATGACTACAAAAGGAAACAAGAATTTTGAATCTGGCTATATCCAAAGTTCAGATTTCGATTCCTGAAATGTGTTAAAATATGTGCATATTTAATGAGATAATGGATAATTTGCATATTTAAACATGCTATTTCAGAAAACTTGTAATACAAAAGACAATTGCCTTATTGTAAGTAATTAACTGGAGAAATTTCTAGCTGATACCTTTAAGTTAAAAAAAGTACCCTATTCACCTGGGGTGTCTCGCCTTAAGTTAAGTTAGTTGCCCCTCGAGCAGGAAGTGGGCCCCTGGTCTCTGAAGCACGCATTCAAAGAATATTGAACTTAATTTCTATGTTTCAATTTCACCTAAGTATGCTTGATGAAAAATGGTAACATGTGTTTGTTTTTTATTATTGTTTAAGTATTGTTTTATCATTGAGGTTTTGAAAAATGAAGCGTCTATCAACATACATGTTTTAATAATTTTGTTCGTGTTTTGAACATCATATTATTTATTGCACATTGTGTCTGCCCAATGGTTGATTAGTTTATTTTATGAATACCTCAGCTTATATCTTTTAATCTTGTTTCATATGAAGACGTTTATTATTTTCTAGCAAAACTTGAAAAGTAATAGACATTCCTTACAGGCCAAATTGTAGTTGGCTGGTATAGGATTTTGGCCGGTATAGGAATTTGTAAGTAGTTTTTGATTTGATTTGATTAGATTTATTTCAAATGTGTATAACAATAATTCAACATGTTTACATGAGAATTATTATACAATACAAAATTAATCAGTGTCAAATTGATATACAAAAATATTACTGATTTTAAATGTATAAACACATTTTAAATTGTTAAAAGAATATGTGAATATCTACGAAAAGATTACATCATTAAAATGTTCATCTACATGCATTTTATTACAAATACAACAACAAAGGATTGCCAATATGGCTGTTATGTGTAAGCTTGTTTATTTGAAGCATATCTAAAACAAGCAATGAAAGGTGCTTTACAAATCAAATGAATTATTATTATTATTAAAACATGGTATATTCATCCATTAAAGCCTTTAAATGGAAATATAGGTGAGTGTTTATTTATTTTCTACCCCATACATATTAATATAATACTGTACACATAATAATAATAACAGCTTTCAGTGGCTTAGCTCTTCTGAAAACTATTGGAAACTTCTTGGAAGACATGTGAATGGTTTTATAAATATGCTACGAGGACTTCTGGAATATTTTCACATAACTGCTGTGATGTTTGTCAAGATGTATGGCAGGTAGTATTTACCTATATTGTTGCCAGCAACATGTGTATTCGGCAGCTCCACATTAGTGACTGATGATTGAATAAAACTACTAATGAAAGATACAAAAAATGAGAAAGTGCCAGACTTCAAAGGTGTTATGCAATACAGATATATTATTTTAATCTGGGTCAACAAATGTAGTCTGCTTAAATCTTCCATTATTTAATGAAACAAATATATTTTTTTCCAGCTGCATACACAATACCTCAGCCACTTCTAACCTGATGATTCATTTGTGAGCAGTGCTACAGCAAACAACCACCTTTTGTTACAGTGGTTGTCCTCATGAGGGAGCTATAAACCTAGGTCCAACTTACAAAAGTTTACACAAGCGTCCAATAAATATGAAAGTAGGGAAGGTGCCTGCGTCATTTGACGAGGAGGAGCTGCTGATGTGACTTTAATGCACGTAAATGACCTAAAGTATCATGGTAAACACTTCCAGTAGCTTTGCAGACTTGCTATTGGAAATTAGTGCAGCATCTCTCTGTTCTATGATGGTGAACGTCAATACAAAGCAGTTTCAGTTTGTATAGAAGTTATTGCAACACCTGGGAGAGCCCCAATTTCTGCCTCATGTATTGTTAACTTGTGGTAAGTGTTGTCAAAGGACCTTGTTGGTTTTTAAAACGAACAAATGCTTAGCGGCTTTTATTAAAAAGTAATGATAGCACATTGGAGGCAACACCTTAAGCTACACTAATGAGAACTTTGTGAAGAAGTGTTTGTGTTGCGAGGCTCAGATATGTGAGTTGTACAGGTAGGTGCTGTTGATGCTCCAGTCAGGAGGGAAGTCCTGCACGGTGTGGCTCTTGATGTGTCTTTGCATGGAGACCAGGCTATTGCAGAACTCCAGACACACCGTGCACTGGTAGGGTGTGGCCCCCCCGTGAGTCCGCAGGTGCTTGATCATGGCCGAGTAGTCCCGTGAGCGCTGACCACAGAGACGACACTCGAAGGGTTTCTCTCCTTAAAGTAGATAGAGGAGAGGTGAGGGGGGGTAAGGAAGACAGAGAAAATAAGTGTGCTCATATGATGGGTAGCTTTAGACATTGACATTTTATTTGTTGCCAGTATTTGTTGATTTGTTTGATATGTTGCTATTATCCCTTGAATGCATATATATATATATATTTATATATATATATATATACAGTGGGGCAAAAAAGTATTTAGTCAGCCACCAATTGTGCAAGTTCTCCCACTTAAAAAGATGAGAGAGGCCTGTAATTTTCATCCTAGGTATACCTCAACTATGAGAGACAGAATGAGAAGAAAAAAAATCCAGAAAATCACATTGTCTGATTTTTAAAGAATTTATTTGCAAATTATGGTGGAAAATAAGTATTTGGTCAATAACAAAAGTTCATCTCAATACTTTGTTATATACCCTTTGTTGGCAATGACAGAGGTCAAACGTTTTCTGTAAGTCTTCACAAGGTTTTCACACACTGTTGCTGGTATTTTGGCCCATTCCTCCATGCAGATCTCCTCTAGAGCAGTGATGTTTTGGGGCTGTCGCTGGGCAACACGGACTTTCAACTCCCTCCAAAGATTTTCTATGGGGTTGAGATCTGGAGACTGGCTAGGCCACTCCAGGACCTTGAAATGCTTCTTACGAAGCCACTCCTTCGTTGCCCAGGTGGTGTGTTTGGGATCATTGTCATGCTGAAAGACCCAGCCACATTTAATCTTCAATGCCCTTGCTGATGGAAGGAGGTTGTCACTCAAAATCTCACGATACATGGCCCCATTCATTCTTTCCTTTACACGGATCAGTCGTCCTGGTCCCTTTGCAGAAAAACAGCCCCTAAGCATGATGTTTCCACCCCCATGTTTCACAGTAGATATGGTGTTCTTTGGATGCAACTCAGCATTCTTTCTCCTCCAAACACGTCTAGTTGAGTTTTTACCAAAAAGTTCTATTTTGGTTTCATCTGACCATATGACATTCTCCCAATCCTCTTCTGGATCATCTAAATGCTCTCTAGCAAACTTCAGACGGGCCTGGACATGTACTGGCTTAAGCAGGGGGACACGTCTGGCACTGCAGGATTTGAGTCCCTGGCGGCGTAGTGTGTTACTGATGGTAGTCTTTGTTACTTTGGTCCCAGCTCTCTGCAGGTCATTGACTAGGTCCCCCCGTGTGGTTCTGGGATTTTTGACCCCACGGGGTGAGATCTTGCGTGGAGCCCCAGATCGAGGGAGATTATCAGTGGTCTTGTATGTCTTCCATTTTCTAATAATTGCTCCCACAGTTGATTTCTTCACACCAAGCTGCTTACCTATTGCAGATTCAGTCTTCCCAGCCTGGTGCAGGTCTACAATTTTGTTTCTGGTGTCCTTTGACAGCTCTTTGGTCTTGGCCATAGTGGAGTTTGGAGTGTGACTGTTTGAGGTTGTGGACAGGTGTTTTTTATACTGATAACGACTTCAAAGAGGTGCCATTAATACAGTTAACAAGTGGAGGACAGAGGAGGCTCTTAAAGAAGAAGTTACAGGTCTGTGAGAGCCAGAAATGTTGTTTGTTTGTAGGTGACCAAATACTTATTTTACCGAGGAATTTACCAATTAATTCATTAATTGTGATTTCCTGGATTCTTTCCCCCCATTCTGTCTCTCATAGTTGAAGTGTACCTAGGATGAAAATTACAGGCCTCTCTCATCTTTTTAAGGGGGAAAACTTGCACAATTGGTGGCTGACTAAATACTTTTTTGCCCCACTGTATATAAAAAAAAATTGCTTTATAAATAGCTAAATAAAGGGTAAATCTTTAACAAATGTTCCAGATATCCATTAACTTGGCAATGCACCACTGCATGTAATCACCCTTAATCCAAGACTGTATGTAATTGTAAAAAAACCACAATATTTATGAATACTTATCAATAATAGAGCAACATAAAGGCTCGACAGAGAATCTTTTGAAAGCAGCAGCTTCCAAAGAGACAGCCATTTTTTTGTTATATGATAAATCTTATAGTTTAAGAACAAGCTAACATTTAAAATGGACCACCAGGTTCCTCTTGATAAAATATTTCAGGATTAGATTGATTTTATCGTCTTTTATATATCTTCTCTTGAAAATAAGGCGTACATTTTGGAGGTGTACATTAAGCTGCATGTGGTTCAGCATGTTTCAACCAATTTATATTTTGACCAATTTACAGCAAGTAATTTAAGGTCATTGCAAGGGCAACCTTTGAATTGCATCTAACCACAGAAATAATCACAATGGCTTTAAAAGCAGTATAAACTGACATGATGTTCACCATTGATAGATTTTCTATCTCGCGCAAGTTTCAGGTCTGCAAGTTTCGAGTTCCTGTTAGGTGTGTTTCATTGTATTTGAATGAGTGGAAATCATCTCCAGCCATTAAGTGGCTCAAAAACCTGAAAAAAAATCAGCAATGGTTTGTAGCAAATTGGCTAAAATTAGCTAAATTGCTCGAATGGTCCTTTCAGGCTAAAACTAAAACTTAAACTTGTCTCTGATCAGTTTTGACACTATGAGCAATCCTACTATTGTTAGTTTTCATTAGTTTAAAGTTATACATGTAACTCACAGTTCAAAGTTATTTCTGCTAAGGTATTATTAATCTCGCACTGCGGATTAAGCAGTGTGCTTACCGGTGTGAACTCTATGGTGTGTGTCCAGTTGGTGTTTCAGACTAAACTTCTTTGGGCAGTGTTGGCACTGGTAGGGTTTTTCTCCTCTGTGTTCTTGTTGATGGCATTGTGGTTCGTGCTGCACCACATCTCCTCTCCCACAGACACGACACCCTGCACAGACCTCACCTGTGAAAACAACAGGATGAAGTAAAACAGGTCACGGTTCGAACATTGCGGTGGGCAGTGAGGGGCCCGACTGTTCATGGAAAAACACAATAAATACACAAACCTTCCTGTAAAAGTGTTGAAGATGATATGGACCTCGATGTGTGAGTTCAATAGTGCTATAATGAAATTATACTTGTTTCTTTTTTGCTCTTGTGATGCTTACATACTGTACATACTTTAGTCCTTATAGACACAAACACAATGAGATTTGAAGAACACATACATGTAACTGACCAATTACTTACAACCAAAAACTTTGAGAGCTGATTGATAAGTCTATTGAGAATGATTTGAAAAGCGATTTGTTCCTCTTTATAATATTTTACATTTAATGTGTTTTTTTTGGTTTCTTTTTGTTGTGAAAAAGACATTTCGTGATCGCCTTGGGCTCTGGATTTATTTCCCCCCAAAAAGGCTTGCTTCTTAAATTGACAGCAGAAGTCACATTTAGGATTGACTTTTGCACATTCCTTGAAATGATAGCAATTTTCATAACAACAATTTATTAAAAAGTTTCTTGCAAATGCTTTGGAATAATATGTTTATCCGATTCACAGAATCGAATCACCTTTGACAGGCACAAGTCTATTTATGGTCAGCATCCTGTTGCAAGACATACATTCAGTTTGTAAACGCTTACTTTCCTGTTACGCTGAACACATGTATCACCTGCAGTCTGCATACGTGTTGGGGAGTCTTTTAAGAAGATAAAGGTGTGATTTTGAGGTAATAGGAGCAAAACAAACTGGGCCTCCTACTTTACACAGGATGCTGAAATATGGAGGGGGTGTACTGTAGATGAAGAGTAAACCACAACAATTGAACACTCACCACTCTAAACAAAGCCTGCTGAGACCTGTTGTCATTAGCATGCTTCCTGTCCAATATTTCTCTTCTCACTTTCAAACACCTATAAAGATAATGCTTTTTATATTGCCCTATTAACATACAGTTCTATCATTTTAGGGGAAAACAAATGACTGTGAAACACAGCCACACTATATGCAGGTACTCAAATGATTTTATCCGTACTTCTTGTTCAGTTTTTGTATTTTTACTTTAAAATAAAACGTTTTTTAAAATTAAATATATTTTCAATCATAGCTTGAGTAGAATTACTAGTATCCTTGTTATCACACTGCTTAATTAGAGCAGGTAGAAAACACATGTATCCCAGCTAATCTTTTAAGTATGAACATAATGTTACATCACATAAAAGATCTCACTCGGCTTAATTGTACAACATTATCTTTCCTACTCGCATATGCTTGTAAGGAGAAAGAGAAACTGTTGGTTTTACAAATTCCTTAGTGGTATTAAAGTGACTAACTTAATTATAGTTAATCAATATGTATAATTTTTGTTTGGTATAACTCAAACCACTGTTGCATTGCAGTGCATACTGTACTGCATATCTAGCTGTATCTAGTAATCACACTCCTGCTCCTGCTGCACCATGCTCTCGAAACCACAACTCTCTTTATCACTTTCCATTGCGTAGCTACGTATCTGGAGTCTGCCGAGGTTAAGGGTCACGACAAGAACTGTCTTACAATCGGTCAAATTGATAAGCTCTACACAGGATGAGCCCTGCTACAGCCCTGATCGTACTGAATAGTAATACTGGTATGCTCAACGTGTTGTAATCATTGAGAAGAACCATTTTTCTGTTAAAAAGCTTGTATTTTTACCCGATGGTGTGGAGGCTGGCTCCCGCTGCGTTGGATTATCATGGAGGGTGCTACAGCAGCGTTGGCAGTCTTTAACTCTCTCTCTGCTGGCTTTGGGTACCTCATGGTAACTGTGGAAAATAAATGTTCTGTTGTAAAAAATACATGAGTTGTTGCTTTTAACAATAATAATAAATATAAATGCAAGATGTATTCACTAAGTAAAAGCCATTAAAAAAATAAATAAAAATGTCAGTGCTGGTATTTTACAACATGTGTTATCACAGATTGCATCTTTGTAACCCCCTTTCCTTCCTCTTCATCCTCAACCACAAGATATTTATAGCGTTCATGCAGTAAAAGCTCTTTTAACTTTGATATAATGTGAGACTAGAAGGAACAGGAAAATAAAGAGGCAATGAAGAATAGCTATTTACTGAAAAAAGACATATAAATGTTTTGAACAAATTATTGTGGTACAGACGGAGCTATTCAAAGGCTAAGCACTGAAACTGTTTTTCAGTGGGTGGAAAATCTTGAATTCTGCAAAGGAGGGGAAAAATGTAGGGGCCTCCCCTTTACACACTGTTTAGTTACACAATGTGGAACACTGTACAAAATGCACAGACATGAAAAAGGTAGTAAATCACCAACAAACTAAGTGGTTTTCACACTAGTCTCTCTAGTATCACAACAGTGGCAGCAGTACATTCATTGAGAATTAGAACAAAGTTTGCGCTGTGATTAATCTAAAAAACTGAACATGATTTGTAAAAAAGAAAAAAAAAACATTGAATTAAGTATTGGCAGTTAAGGGTTAACTGGTGAAACTGCTCTAGTTGGAAAGTGCAGGAGGCTCGAACACACACAACTGCAGTGAGTCAGGTACAGCAGCTGTCGCAAAGGAACAATTGAGCAAATTAGGGGATTTCAATGTCTGAGAGGAATAATAGGGAGACAATGACTGAAAAAAACAAAACTACATTTTCCAAAACTATGCCCTAACTGACTTACCTCCTCTCACCGGTGTGACTGGTCCCAGTAAATGCTCTCTGGCTGGTTTTTTTTTCTTTTCAAGAGGCCTTGCTTGATAATGCTCCCCACCCCTGAAGGCCGAGCATAGAGGTTGTGTGTATAACTTGGATGAAAGCTTGAGTAGCCCATTACAGAGCTGTGAACAGGGGTTTGAAAATGAGCTCCGAGTAGGGGGAACATGTGGGGGGAGGAGAGGGGGAATGGGTATGCAATTGAGGACGGGCTCTGGGACTGAAGGGGGTGAGCTGCGATTAAACTTGAATAATTCCCTGCGATCCGCCTCAGGGTGCTCACAGAGCTCCACATGTTTGGAGGGAATGTCCATGGAGAGGAGAGTGTGGCGCTGCTACTGGCAGGCCTGGTGACACGCTCTCTGTTAGGGGATGATTCTAACACGGGGGGGCCTTTAAGCTTCTTCTTTTGGGGTGGCAGACTGTTGGGGTTCTTATCAGGATCACAGGGCGAGAGGTTCTCCATGACAATGCAATCGTTTGCCTCCTCTGGGGAAGAAGTCTCTTGGAGTTTCTCCTCCTCAACTGGACTTGATGATTGCTTTTGGCCGTTCTTCTCTGCACTTTCATCTTGCTCCTTCTCTTTGAAACATGGGATTTCTCTTCTGTCAGCCTCCACTTCTCTGTAGTTGAGTTTTCCCAGCTGCTTCAGGCACTGGTCCTCCAGCAGCTGCATCTCCAACAGCTGAGCAGCTCTATGCAGCAGATGCAGGTCCCCCTCAGTCACCTCCAGGGTCTGTGTGTAGGTGAAGTCCAGAACTTGCTGGAAGGTGCGGGGGGGAGAAATACTCCAGAGTGCAGTGGGCTGAGTTGTCTGTGGCTGCCTGGGCTAGCTGCTGCGCTAGTCTTCTGCTAGCACAAGCCAGTACTAGCCGATGAGCCTTAAATATGTGACTCTTTACTGAGATGATGACATCACAGAGGGATCCTGAGCGACGTAAGGCATCTGCCTCCTGCAGGAAGTGGAAGTATTGGGTGTTGTTGATGCGGATCATTTCTGAAGGCTGTAGAAGTATTATAAGATGTCTGAGAAAAGAAAGTCAAAGGAACAAAAGATCAGAAGGATCCCACCAGATTGTGATCATACTGACATTTCTATAAATACTAATTTTTACGTGGAAAAATCTTCAGATCAACAGCAGGGATTGGTTTGAAAGATAATGTGTTTATCTGCAGTTATTTCCATGCTTTCCAGACAGCGTTACCTATAGTGAAAGTTGAGGGGGCAGAATGTACAACCCAGTCTCATGGCATTTCGTGTTCACCAACACAATTTTTAATCTATTGATTCGTGTTCACCAACACGATTTTCCCCTTTTTTTCGTGTTGCACAGCACGATTTTAAAAGCAATGTATTTCTACTGGTAATGACACTTATGGAAGCACGGCATTCGTTTGTGTCGGCTGCCCTTAAAGGCAATGTGAGCGTCCATTCTCATTGGATAACGGAGAATTGTACACCCGGAAGTAAGTATTCCCCTTACTGTCGATTGATTTTACAGTGATATCTGCACTACTCATCGACTAAAAAAACACCCGATTATCCTTGTTAATTACACAACATTGATTGGTTTAAATTGTGTGCAATGCTTTTGTATTTTCCCCCTTTGATTCGGAGAAACAAATATTTTTTCGGAGTAAAGGATAGCAGAAGACACTACACTACCCAGAATCCCCAGCTATCGTTTAGGACTACACCATGTGCTCTGTTTGACAAACCCCGTGATAGTCCTCAAGCTCTGTGATTGGAGAGTGTGCTCCGAGGGTTACCGAGCCTCGAACAGCACTTGAAATGGGATGGAACCACGGCAGACTGTCCAAAACTGGATTTGAACGTGTCCACCGCGTCCCCCCCTCCCCCACCCCGTCCCCAGAACTACACATGCTGGCTATTCTGTTTCGCAAAATGTTCTTTATCTATGGCACGTCTCTACTGGGAGTTGTAGTTTTAAAAGACGTTTTCGTATTTCCCATAATAAGAAGTTGCCAGTATTAAACTGTGTACATCCCTGGAGGTTTAGGGGGTAGGAAACACTCAAATTTAAAACATATAATTAATAAATGGGTGAAAATTGCTTGTGCCCATAATGGGCAGCATTAATATATATACACACATGCCAGCGGTCAGAAGAGCTTTATTTAACAGCTGGTCTTATGTTTGTGATCCCTGTTGTTAATTGATAACATTACATTACATTACATTAATTGATAAGCCTGAAACATGCACTTGTCAAGGTTCAGAGGCACATTTAGCAAATATGGCAGTAGCCATCGATCAGCTTAAGATAAGATATACTTTATTGATCCCAAGTTGGAACATTTGCGTTACATCAGCATGTGTAACTGTTGTATGCAGTGGTGTTTATTTGTAAATCATTTAGTATAATCACACAATTTCTGTGTTTTATATTTAACAATTCTGTGTTCTTTATTTATTGATGGTTCAATACCTGACAAGGCCGGAGATGAAATATCTACATACATCTTATAAGAGTATAATACATTATGTATAATATCAGTTAAAATAAGTGCTTCAACATAGTTAACATTGCTGGAGGTATGCACAAATATTGATAGATGTCTTGTAATGCACTATTGAGGAACCTGCGACCCAAGTTTTTCATTCCATGCATAACTACACCATAGTTGTGTGGGCCTATATGATATGTCAATAAACCTTAGAAAATCTTGAAATCTTGAAAGGGATGTGCAAAATAGTCATTATATACAGTCTTTAATTAACTATTAGTAGAGAATAACAAGTAATGAATATACTTTATAGGGATCCTATTCATATCTAATAATAAAAATAATGAAATTAAATAACATGCTTTAACCACTAGGTGTCCCTTTATATCAGCTGTGCACCTTTATGGTGTAAATACAGCCTATCTACCAATTGGATCAAATATAAAAGTCAGCCGAATTAGTGTTGATACTGCAAGGAGACGTATTGTGTGAAAAGAAATGTAAGATGTTGTTTAATGGCTGATATATTTATGATCCACGTCACGTTTTCAGTTCCTCATGTTTGTCTAGAAGTCTTCTCATCAGGGCTCTATAAATACAGAACTACGGCAGATATGTAATATGTAATGCAACCGAACCGTGTATTACAATGTCGTTATGTGATGACTTTCAAAGAGAAAAGCAAGCACACTCGGAATAAAGTATTATTTTTATTTTTTTCCAATGTTTTCGGTCTGTTTCCCGTATTTGTTAATGACGATACGCTGTGAGATGTGAGACTGGAATTGTACAGGGGAAAATAACGTAGGCTATCTTTAGATGCGGATTTTGTTAAACTAATATGTTTGCGCTGTGGACATTACGGGGAAGGGGGTAGCAATAAAGATAACACCATTAAACAGTTACACAACATAACAGAAATAATATCGATAGCAGCGTCCCTAGCAACCACCTTGGTAACAATGAACACTTCCTGAAGTAATCTTCGTAATAACTAGCAAACTAAAGATCATGTACATCCACTGCACACATAATCTGAAATAACAACTCATATTTCTCGCATCAAATGACATCAAAACGCATTTTAATGGCCAAACTAACTTTAAAATAGGCATTTTCCACCGAGAATAAAACGAAGTTCGGCCATGTTTTTTTTTTCTGCAGGGAGAAATTTGAAGACCACGTGACATAGACGCCAGCCATTGGAATGAATGGTGAAAAAAAACGGGGTTTGTCAAACAGAGCACATGGTGTAGTCCAAACGATAGCTGGGGATTCTGGGTAGTGTAGTGTCTTCTGCCATCCTTTACTCCGAAAATATATTTGTTTCTCCGAATCGAAGGGGAAAAATACAAAAGCATTGCACACAATTTAAACTAATCAATGTTGTGTAATTAACAAGGATAATCGGGTGTTTTTTAGTCGATGAGTAGTGCAGATATCACTGTAAAATCAATCGACAGTAAGGGGAATACTTACTTCCGGGTGTACAATTCTCCGTTATCCAATGAGAATGGACGCTCACATTGCCTTTAAGGGCAGCCGACACAAACGAATGTCGTGCTTCCATGAGCGTCATTACCAGTAGAAATACATTGCTTTTAAAATCGTGCTGTGCATCACGAAAAAAAGGGGAAAATCGTGTTGGTGAACACGAATCAATAGATTAAAAATCGTGTTGGTGAACACGAAATGCCATGAGACTGGGTTGGAATGTACCAGGTTTGATTTCATAATTGTTTTACATTGCAATGAGTTGTTGTGACAGTCAATTTCATTTTCAACATGCCTTGCAAAACAGTTTATACAAAAGTTATAAATATGTTAATTGTTACTTTAAAATAAAAATGTTTGACTGTGTTTCTATACACCGATTTAATGTATATGTATAGGTGTGTATGTACGTGCACATGTATATGTATATATGTATATTGATATGTATGCATATATAGTTGTATGTGTATATGTGGGAATGTCAGTGTACGTACATGGTTGTGTATGTATATATGTATATTTGTATATATGTGTATGTATGTATGTATGTCGGTGTGCTTGTAGATGGGTATATGTATGTGTATGTATATATATATATATATATATGTGTGTGTGTGTGTGTGTGTGTTTAAGTAGATGCATGAGTACATGTGTAGAAATTTGTCATTTCAAACAACCGTACTTTTTCATTTGTCATTTTTGGGTCTCTAAAAATATATGATTTGCAAAACTATACTCTTAATATAATGTGACCCCAAATAAATAAAAAACAAAAATTAAATAAAAATGAGTACCTTAACAACTAGTAGAATTCTAATAATATTATTTTAGAAGACTGAAATACGCTGAAGAAGCTTTTGAACAAGACAGTGAATGATATTTTGTCTGAATGTCTAGTTGAAGTTTGAAATGTACTCCCTTTGTCAAAGCTTTGATATTCAGCGCTCACATACACACTCTAAAGCCACAAAGCCCGAACAGTATATGAAACTATGACTAATGACTGTACACACGGGTAAACATGAGAGTCAACAACAATAACTGTATTAGGTTGACTGTATTTTAAAAGATGAAGGTATTTTAAAATGATAAACATACAATTCAAGTGCACTGCAGGGGTGGAATATGTAAATATGCATTTATGTAAAGGAGATATTTGGAATTTCACACCTAAGACTGAGAGTAAATGAATGAAAAACACTGCAGCCGTGCGTCAAAACTACTGTGAAGAAGTCGTCTTCACATCATCTCCTTCTGAACTCTATAATAAACCTATATGATAATACAGTGTGTGGTCGGTTTTTGCAGCGGCGTTCACATCTACTGTTAACTATTACAGTGTGGATTTTCAGCAACCCCATTCTGTCCTCTGATGGTGAATGTAAATAGAAAGTAAATGTAAAACGCGATGACATTTGTCTCATCATTACTGGAAATGTTTTAAGTGTGTATGCCTTTGTACCCTCTTCAAAATTCAGTGACTCTGCAATAATTAACCAAATAAATTATTTATCTTACTGGAAAATGTTGTTCGAAAAAGCATTTGATTTGAAATATTTGTTGTATTATTTTGTAGATTATTTATACAAAACCACACCAAGTGCTGAGAGTGAAATGACAGTGGAGCGGCGCCAGTATCAGGTATCAAGTAACTTAGATTAAGTGAATTTGATAAGGTTCAGCCGGCAAGCTTTATGTTTTTATTTAGTTTTTATGTCTTCTATATACAAATAATTGCAGTTACACAATGTGTAATGTGGAGAGCACCGTGTTGACAGCAAGTAGAGATATTATCATGCAATGTAAACATGCATCAGCTCAGTGAAGGCTACTGTATCGCCTGCGTATACGAATATAAAACGGTGTAATTAACCACTACCGAAAGGCATGCGCTGCATATATCTCATACAACTATAACACACCTTATATTTTAATGTCTAGTTAAAATGTATTCTGTCCAATTAATATTTCTTTACAGTTGTCATTTTTCTGAATTCATATGAATTTCCTTTCACATAATAAGAATAATAATATTTAAAAAAGTAATAATAATGATACAAATAATAAAACTGTAATATTATTGTTATTATTGAAGTGAATAGCGTATAATAATTTAGTGAACAATTCATTATTTAATCGTAACAATTATGCTATTATTTGTACAGTGGTGTTATTGGTCCTCGAAGCAGCACTGTGAGGACAGTTTTTTTGTATTTAGGATGTTTAAGATGTTCAATGTAACTTCAGTTAACGTTATTTTATGTTAAAGAGCATTTTCAGGAACTTTAAAGCAGTGCAATGTGTTTTTGTAATATAACCACCTTTTATTCTCTGGGATTTTCTCTTTTCATTTGCAGAGACAGCTCCGAAATGCTTGTCTTTTAGTGGAGTGCCATTCCATTAACTTTAATTTAAACTTTTTGTTAGATTTTACTTTCAAATATCTACTCACATTTATGTCATATACCTGAAATGTACTATTTATAGAAATTAAGTGGTGTCTTTCATGTTATTTCTTGATTTTGTAATACACCGGCTTGTGCAATAACAAAATTCCCCTTGATGCTTTTCAAATCTTTATTGCACTATGCAGAGTAGTGACATAGTTCTCAATGCATAGTTCTCAATGCTTACAAGGTGGAAAACCTTGCATGCATATGTCTGATCTACACATCCTTTGACAGGACATGAACGTACAGCTAGCCTCTCCACAGCTCGAATGTAAAGGACCCAAAGTCACAAAGGAGATGCCTGAACTTAAAGCCTCAGCAGAAGTTCACAAGTGACACACAAGTTGTATTTACAGTACATCTTGAAATACAGCTAAATAGAGCAAAGATGAGAAGTGTTAAAGTGTTTCTTGTTGTGGTTTCAAGCATCAAATACTTAAAAAGCAGCAAGCAGTGTGAGTGAGACACTTACCCGGTTCTTAGTGAATATTCTCCCTGGAGAATAAGGAGCTACCTCGCATCATGACTGTGAAGTGACATTTCTGTCTGGGTACAGGTTTTGGTGAGGGACAGGTTGGTTTCCTCCTTTGACGTTACAGTCCCTCCTCTTCAGATGATCTCTCTCCCTTATTGGTGCATTGATCATGGTGCTAAAAGGGTTTTTTGCTGATAAAAGGTGGTGACTGTCTTTGAAGTAAAGCAGTTATTTGAATTATTTCCTATTGCTATTTCGCTTAAAGTATAGATGCAGATTTACTATTCATTATGTATTTGTTGTACAGGGTAAACCACAAATCAAACAAAAGTGAAAATATAAAGGTTACACATTTTAAAGAACTGAGAACGGTTTTCTTCTTTCTTATGATAAAGAAACAAGGAAGGCAGTTAGAGTGATATTTGCATACCCTTGATGCTGTTTACCTTCATATGCTGTACAGTACATGGTTTCCTCCCCTTCAGCATCACTTTCTGGTCAATACATTAATAGGATGTTCTGTGCTGAGACAAACACCACTTCAAAGTCCTTGATCTGTGACAGGAAACATACAAACAACAGATACAAGCCCGCTATTACTGGGCTAGGCCTAAAACCAGCACTCTTGAAATATAAATATATTCTCTGTGTTTCGATGTAGTGATCCTCTCAGATGTTTGTGTTAAAAAATGTACATAAATAGGTCAGCTGTAGAGCTGGTCAGTTAAGCAGACCTTGATAGTTTAGTACATTATGACTTCTTTTGTGTGCCTTTTAAAGCCTCATTTGACCATGATTAATAATCAGGCAGTCAAGATTACATATTTCTAAAATAATATGGTCATGCATTCACAAAAATCTATTATTTGTATACATTGTTTGTTTGTTGTTCATTATACATTATTTAACCTAGTTGTACTTGTTTCCCTTATAATCAACATTTGAAATGCAATCATTTTTGGGCCTTAATTTGTGGCTATTCATAGAATATTTTTGAAAATCTGCAAAATATATTATATAATTCAGCTGACAGTCATATTTTACATGTAGCTGGTGAACATACTGTATGTAACAATGAATCTAACACCTAAAGAGCCATATATTTTTGGGTGGAGATCGAAACAGAGCTGAAAAAGAGTGAATGTTGGCTGCAGTGTTGGATATAGTAATTAAAGCACTGCATGTTGTATTGAAGTTCTTCTGTCAAGAGTGGCCAAAAGGTTAACCCAGTATGGAACAGTAAATGAGAAGGCAGCAGACAATTATGGGACTTTAAGGCACACAAGGCCAAAAGTGGAGGATGGAGGAGAGGAAAGAAAAAAAAGGACAGACCTATACAGTATAGCGAGAGAAGCATTGCGTACAATTGTACATGAAAGATGTTAACAAACTGAAACAAAAAACGATGCAACAAACACAGTTGGCCAAAAGTAATCTATGGTAAATTGCAATTGGGGAGCAGATGGTCATATTGCTGATGCAAGCCCATGTAATATAACATGGCAAAAGCCCTTTGAAGTCACATCTGGTATGATTTGAGATGCAGTAAATGGAAGATAGAGTGGGTTTTTGTGGTCAAATCCTATTGTTCTTGGTCAAAATACTGAAAATGGATGACTTTATATGAATTATGAATAAAGACGGTAACAATAATGAATAATTACCTGATTATCATGATTTGTATCGTATGAGGAATTATCTCTTTGATTCCGATGGTTCTGTCTGCTTACATTTCACATTATGAGATCATTCAGGCATAGATCGGTGTCATCTGCATAACTTTTTAGTGTAGTTTTAGAGAAATAAAATAAATATAAACCCAGTTAGAACAGCTAGATGCTATCAGACATGTAACAAGTGTTGCCAAGTGTCTAGTTTACGTATCATTGGGGTTTTGGCTGTTTGAAAATAGGCTGCTGGATTCTTTAACTTTATTTTCGCAGCCAATGCCGCTAGCTTTTACCTTGGATTGTTTAATTTTGTTTGTGGGTGAAGAAGAAGAAAAGAAAATCAAGGTCCATACCAGATGAACAGTGTACAGGTGTCATTAGAGATAATATGTGACATCAAATTACATGTGAATGTGCTTGGCAAGAGACGGCCTTCATTGAATAACTTCATACAATTCCATATGGTAAAAGCCTACTAAGTAATGTAATTTTGTCAAATTAAATTTGGCATGCTGTGAAGACGGGAAGTACTTTTCACAGTGATGGGATTGTCTTCTTATGAAACTCAACGTTAAAGAAAATATCTGGCTTCCGGAGAGACTTTGAAGCACACCACAAGTCTTATCTGACTGAGAAATTAATTTGGAACATGTAGCACTTAAACACACAACACATCTTTTTCTTTGTCACCCACATGGTCAAGTGTGTATAGTGTTAAACAAAAGGTGGTTTCCATCTAGTAGTTCGGTAGCGTAGTGAGGTTTGACAAGTTGGTTAAGGTCACATCTCTTTTCATTGACGTTTTCTTTTTCAGATTTATCATTACGTCATAAATCCATTTTCAGTGCATATGCTTTTTTAATATCTACACATCTTCTTTTTTTTTTAAGTAAAATGTTGACCAGTAAGAAATAAAGTATAAACTGATTTTGGTATGAATGCTCTGTACATGTATAGCACGCAAGCTTTAGTTCCTCTGCTCTGTTATGCACCTGCTAAATATCACTTACCATCTGTAAAAGTTCAATCCTTGTGTGTATATGTGCACACATTAAGTGCTGACATTTGGAGGGACTACTGTGCATTTGTTTGCCTGTGTGAACAGTTATTGCCAAGTATTGCTCTAACCGCTGGACAGTCTGATCTCATCGATTCCTCTCAGAGAAATTAGCATTATACCAACACTTAAATGTCATCTGTAGCTATATGTGAAGGAGACAGCCAGAGCTGATGCAAAGGGCTTCACCTTCCAGTAATATCAAGACTGTCATTCCCCCCACACCACACTCATGCTATCCCCTCACTGTCAGTTTAACAATCACCATCAGACGTAGCACCAATGCTGACTCACTGAGGTGTCTAACTGTGTGGGGTATATGAGGTAAATGCTAGTCTGTGCGCATTCTGCAATAGCGTGTACTTCAGCCCACACACATTTTATATGATGTTAATGTTATTTGTCTTTTATTCATTTATTGAGCAACCTTTTGATCTACCTACTAAACGTTTTAATGTCTGCAAACTGAGGGGTTTCATATATTTTTTTTTTTGAATGAATCAAAGTGTTCCTGAACTAAACAAAACGCACACTCACACTGTGATGTGATAAAGGTTGTGTTAATATGAGTCGTCTTACATTACCACAGTGGCGGTATGTAAGCAATCGACTTCAGAGGAACCACTACCAAGATGACTGATGTGCGCATGATGCCTCAAGGCCAAACTGTCACTGTACAGCCACAGAGCCTTTTCACAGTTATCTGGGTAAGCAGGACTACCAGTTAGTGTTGTGGTTTGGAAGAAGTGAAGCTGTGCAGCTCGGGGCTGGGGTTGGCGCTTCTTTGTAAATTGTGGGTGAAGGAAGTGTGTGGCCTTCCCTGCCCACGCTTGTGACTGTAACATGAATTGGTGCTTGGGAACTGTTTCAAAGCAGCTAATTAGTTAGTTTAACAGAGGGCTTGATATGTATTGATGCTTCTCACAGCATCAAGTAGAGGAATACGATTAGATTAAAGCAGTCACTTTCTTAAAAATGAAAGGAAATTAACCTCCAAAGCTACAGTATATAATTTCTCAGTGCACTACATTAAGTTGTAAGGAACACACTCATGTTACTACCAATGTTACAATGATCGAAGATTATCAAGGTTGATTAAAAGTGTATGTGGTTGCTCAGTCTTCTCCCTACAGTAACATTGTTGATAGAGTTCTATCCACGAAAGTTTAAACAATGGTGCCTATACACAATATGGGCAATATAATCCAAGTTAATTTTGTAATGCTTTAACATAATTTTTGTCATCACACCTTGTGCACCAGGACACAAATTGCATTTATGTTGTATTAAAGACCAAACAAGTATGTTCTTATTGTACTTTAGGTTTCTTTTCCTAAGAATTAAGCTGGGGATTTGCACATTTCTTTTCCAGTATGAGTTAGTCATACAGTCTTCCCCCTGCTAGATTGTGTTTTTTTGTGGTTCATTACATGATGATCAATCTTCACTCACCTACATGTTGCCTGTGAAATTTATAACTGACATAAGTTTCCTTATCGCATGACCATGTTGTCAGACTTTTTAGAGAGAGAAAATGTGAATGTGAAAAGCAATTCAATAAGCACACACATTTATGGGTCATTCATTTTTATTACACTATTCATTTTTCTCGACCAGTTTTAATTTCTCAGATTGCTTGCAAATACAGTTACACAACAGAGAACATTTTGCCAAATAGAAATATCTGTCTGCTGATTTGTGGAGCATGTCTTTGGTTAAAGATCTGAATGAAAATGAAGAACAGCTCTCTCTATGGTGCTATCAACATCCCAAGAATCAATGCGTTATAATTTAAATCAGAGAGACAGGATCAATGTCTAACATTTAGCAACCTTTACACAAATTGAGTCATTTGGTTCTACTTGTGCTTAGCGCCTCTCCTTGTCAATTAGGCAGAGGTCATATGTCTATCTATATTTCACATTTCTGAACGTTATAAACTTGTCAATGTTTTCTTAAACAAGCTTTTAAATTTACATTACAGGTGAAAAGCATGACCCATGATCCAACTGATTATTACATAGAAATAAAAAATACAGAATAATTACATCCAAAACACAGCATTGTAAAAGGCAATAATGCAGCAATTAAAATCTCAATAACATTGTTTATATTTCGTCGGGAAGTAAGGGGACAGACAAACAAAGAAGTCTAGAGTTTGACAGAGGATGTACGTACAAATGTGTTTTGATTAACTACAGTATACACCATTCTAAGTCTGCTAAATGCTGGTAGGAAACCTTCAGTGGTTTGGGAAACACAGGCAAGCTTATTCTCATCTATGGTTTCAGTAGTATCATTACAAGATCAAATGACTTAAAACTGTGAACAT